TCATAATACTCCATTGCCTAGCAGTGCTCCCATTGAACGCGTATTTAGTATTAGCAATGCCATACTAACAAAACGTCGAGGAAAGATGGACGACAACACATTTGAAAAAACAATTTTTTTAAAATACAATTCAAATATGTAATTCATATCTATTAAAATATACAATATACTGTATTACTGTCTACTATTAGAATAATTGTGTGTTTTATTATTATAATTATTTATTTTATTTTTTTAAAATATTTTTTTGATAAATTCCATAAATATTTTAATATAAAATTTATAATTTACTAAAAAAAAAGTATTTGTGGAAGTATTTTGAATACTTTTAAAAAGTATTTGTATTTATATTCAAATACTTTTAAAAGGAAGTATTCGAATACGTATTTTAAATACAATTAACACCAAGTATTTAAATACGTATTCTGAATACATTTGAAAAGTATTCTTAACAAGACTGTAATTGAGTATGTTCTATTCCTTTCTTTGAACGAGTGCCTATTTGTCGTAGTTCAATTTCGTTAACTATAATTGGTCGGATACTTTTATTATGTAAATCTTTCTCTCGTATAGATTCTAAATATTTTTCCTTATTTAAATCTACCGAATATTGATATCCCTCGTCTGTACTTAAATCAATTAATAATTCGTTACTTCCTATTACTGTTTTATCTTTACTTTTATCGTCAATAGTTTTTATTTCACTAATATTATCGCTTATTACTGCTTCGTTAATTATTTCTTTACTTTTGGGTTCTTCAACCTCTTTAACTTCTGTTACCAAATTTTTATTTCCTTGACTCATTAAATTAATTTATTCATTAAATTAAATTTAAATCGTAATATTCTTCACGAGTATTATTTTAATACGTAAAATTATTTTTCTATAACTTATTTATTAATCGCCAATAAACCCATAAATCTAATTCTACAATTATTATATTTTTATTCCTTATATTTCAATAACTTGTCACTCAACAAAATTAATTTAATTCAATTATCTAATTTACTTTTAATTACTTATTCTTAAAATATTTTTTTTTAATTAGGACTTATAACGGCCTTACAATTTTTCTAATTCAAAATTAAAACTTCAATATAATTTTAACAGATATTTAAGGACTTATTCCGGCCTTATAAACTCAATTTAATTTATTCAAATATCTCTCAATAATATCTAAGGACTTATTCCGGCCTTAATAACTTCAATAAAATTCTCTATAATTTTTCACCAAAAAGGACTTATTCCGGCCTTTAATTAATTAATTCGTAGGACTTATACTTGCCTAAATTCACAACAATAAATTCAATATTCTCAATAATGAAGGACTTACTTCTCGGCCTTTAAATAAATTCACAAATATAAACTCAATAAAAATTTCTCAAATTAAGACTTACCACTCGGCCTATAAAATTCAACAAAAATTAGACTTCAACTTGTCTAATAAAATTCAAAACACAAGGACTTACTACACGGCCTTTAAAGTTCCCCAATAAAATAGACTTCAACTTGTCTAATAAATTCAATACACAAGGACTTACCACACGGCCTTTAAATAAAATACTCAATTAATTCTCAATAATTCGCAATAAAAATTCTAACCAGAAGGACTTACTACACGGCCTTTAAATAAAATACTCAATTACTTCTCAATAATTCACAATAAAATTCTTTTTAACTCTCAAATATATTCACTAAAATTTTTTTTTTAAACAATTCTCAATTTAATATCTCTTATTCTCTTTTTAATATAACTCTGATTAAATTCCCAATATAATTCTCAATAATAAACTATATTAATTTACTAACTTATTTATTTATTTATTTCCTAACAAAATTTAATTTTATTAACAACGCAATAAGATCTTAGAACTTATACAAATCGAAAGCATCTAATAATATTAACTTTATTCACTAATTTACTAATTTATTTATTTTTTAATTTTATTCCTAACAAAATTTAATTTTATTAACAACGCAATAAGATCTTAGAACTTATACAAAATATTTAAATTTAGTATTTCTTTTGTTAAAAAAATATTTTTCTTTAATTTAATTTAATTTAATTTATTGAAATATTATTTATTTATTATGTTACTATGTTATATTTTAAATATATATATTTTTTTTAATAATTTTTTTTTTATTTAATTTAATTTAATTTAATTATTTGTGTTACTAAAAATTTTTTTTTAAATATTTAAGAAGAATATAAAATATTCCGATTATTGTCTATTTTTTATGATCGATAAATAATTTCAACTAAATAAAATAATAAATACTTAATATGTATATTCAAATGTTATAATTTTACCACTTTTATTGCGTGCTATTAAAATATACTATGGTCATAAAATATACCATAGGAGACGGACAACAAAATTATTCTTAAATTCGAAATTATAATTAATACTTACGCCAATGCAGCTGATACTTGATTCATGGTATGTGTAGTTGGTACCTCCATGTGATTTGACTTGGAAAGTAATCGATGTTGCTGACAGGATTCTGTTGCGGAGTTGTTGATAGTTGATCAGACTTCCAACAATGATTCAATTTGATTGAATTGCCTCCTCGAATTAATTTGGTTAGAATATTTTGAAATAATTCAAAAAATATTCGTTTCCAAAATTGTTTTCTTTTTGCAAACCTTGTCCACAGCGCCAATTGTAACAATCTGACTGCGCTCGTTTGATGGTGTTGAGAATAAATGAACAAGAGTTTGGTTTTTCTTTATAATTTGAATACTTTTTTATTTAATTAATACAAAACACAATAAATTTACTAAGTCCAAAATGACTATTTTAAATAATGAAGACTAGCGAGATGTGACTTTCATATCCTAGCTCCTAGCTTGTCGTTGGTGTTGGTCCGTCTGCCGAAGCCTATTCGAGCGACGTTTTCATAATGGTGATCCTTGGATCATATCCCTGCCTATTATCCTACTACTTTACCATATAAGGTCATTCCGTGGGAACACGCCGGATGTCCCTTGCTTATCTGGTCGTTGTCATCTCTATAGAGTCAACACAACACTTTTAGTGTGAACTATTTTAATAATATTCATATAAGTAGTTATATATCTATGAACATATACGTTTCGAGGTCACGCGCAATTTATCATATCAAATAGGCGCTTTGTAGGCCTCCTTCAACTATTATATACATAGAGTTCTTGTTCTTTGAAGTTACATTGTTTATTTATAACATTTAAACATAGTCACAGCTCGCTACACTATAAAGGTTATCAGATAGTTTTCTTACTTAGAATACCATTGATAACGGAAGTAGAATTAACTTTATATCGAATTTTACCAATAGCATATCCAGTAGAAACCAAAGGACACGGGGAAGTAGATGACAAACATAGCATAATTCTGAAACCAGAGTTTCAATATGTGGGAATAACTAAGAACGGTCGACAATACACTACTTTCACGGAAACACAGTTACTGCACTTGTACCGAAACGGAAATATTTACTATTTGTCCTGAGTTCCAACCAATACAGCACGAGTCAAAATACCAACCATGTGAGATATCATTATTCAAAAATCCAGACCTATTACCACAAACATGTGAAGCGGGAATAATAATTTTATCTAAAAACATTTTTCATAAATTGAAATATGCAAATGCATGGATTTATACAACAAACGGTGAAACATTAACAATAACATGTCAAGGGAGTAAGGAACCTTATATAGTAAAGATTAAAAACCAAGGTATAATAAAATTAAATCAAGAATGCCGAGCATACGCGGGAGATATTATATTAAATCCGACACGGGATATAAAAACAAATTATTATATTAATTTTATACCACAAATAGGGACAGGCAAGCTATCGATAACTCTACCTACTAAAATCAAAGATGTAGAATTACCAAAAATAAAAAATAAATACGACTCGCATCAGTTGGATAAAGTGCATGAAATAGCGCTATCTTTAAATGAAGTACAGGATATGATAAATGACGAAATACTTAGGCAGTCCGGGTACGGGATAACTGACAACAGCAATAGTTATTTAATTTATTCAATAATCGGGTTGATGACATTTGCTACGATATTATTGTTGTTTATATATGTTATGGTAAATGATGTTAAATGGAAATTGACGTAATTCACCGGTTATTAACGTTATTTACCAAATACACAGGTAATTATCGTTATAAACCGGATAATCACATTAATGACCAAATACACAGGTAATTGTTGTTATAGACCAGATATGCACGTGAATCTCAAATACCTACTACAAAATATGTATTTTTAAAAATAGAAAAAATGCTTTATTATTTTTTATTTGTTTTTACAATTTGTACTCCCGTGACATTTACTATTACATAATTTTTCAGCCCCACGGCAGGCACAACGTTTATTATTACAATCAGTCTTGCAATGGCAACGCTGGTACCCTTGAGGGCCCGCAACCGAACTATTACTAGCTGCTTCCCTCAGTGTCAACTGTCTATCACCTGCTAATTTTATCACATTGTACATGTCTAATAGATTTTCTTCGCAAGCAGCTATTTCTTGGCGTGTGTAATTATATTTAAGAAAACCATGTTCCGTACCTATAAAATAATTAAACAATTTTTAATTTTAATAATATATTTTTTCATTAAGAATTAACTTACAGAGTTTGTATAAGTCATGTTCAACTTGGGAGACAACTGCCAGTATATTTCGCGGAGAACCACGAGCTCTATCAACGTCCGGTATAGTTACACGTACAGTTGTGCCTATTTCAAGCCGAGGAAACTTTTCTTTGGAAAGTTTCATCATTTTCTCTCCTTGTTTTTCTAAATTTTTTTTTGAATTTTTACGTGCAATACAAATATTTTCTTGACGATCATCTAAAAAATATTAAAAATAATTTTTAAATATTAATAATTTATTGTTAAATAATTAAAAAATATTTAAGTACCAAGTTCCGAATTTTTTTCTACGATTTCTATGATTTCATTTCCGATTTCGTCTTCTTCGGTGATTGGTTAATTGGTTATTTTTTCTAAATCTTCTTCCGTAATGACCTCTTTTATTTCATCGTTTGGAAGATTAGACGACATTAAACCAATTCTAGCCGTGCAGCCAAACATCGCTTCATATGGCGTTCTACCTATGCCTAATATGTAAATAATTAACATTAAAAAAAACAATTTTTATTAACTATTAATAAAAATAAGTTAAATGTTAATAGTACCTGAATGAAAAGCTCTATTTTTTTTAAACTGAATAAATCTTAATGCCGATGGCCAATCGGAACTATTATTATCACCCATCCAAGCAGCTAGCATTTCTTGGACGTCTCTATTGGCTCGTTCAACTGACCCCTGACTTTGACTATGTCTTGGCTTTCCGTGAACAATTTTGACTTCATTCCACATTATATGAAGTTCATTAATCACCGAATTAACGAATTCTCTCCCGTTATCGGATTGCAATATTGCAGGTGCCCCAAATAACGTATAAATATCGATAAGATTATAAGCGATTTCTTCAGCGCGTTTTGATTTTAAGGGTTTCAATATTACGTACTTAGTCAAATGATCCTGGTAATTCATTATGAAACGATAGTCATTATAATGTTGAGATTGCATGTCTATAAGGTCAACTTGTGCCCGTGAGTTAAAAGTTGACTCTAAAATTGGTTTAGATACTAATCCTCTTCTTGGGTGCACTGCTTTTTTCTGACATTGAACACATAATTTTAAATAAACCATAACTGTTTCGTTTGTTATATTGCAATATTTATTTTTCAGTTCTGCCATCATACGATTTCGTCCTCCGTGGCCGATGGCAGAATGTGTTTCGTGAAGAATATCAAACAGTTCGTCAATTTTAACGTAATACAATACGACATTTTTTTCGTCTACTGGTCTAATAAGACGTTCTTTTCCATTTATTTTTAAAATATCGTACTTACGTACTACACGATAGTCCTTCATTGTTTTAGCTTCACCGACAGTTTTTAAACACATTTTTGATTTTTTAACTTGTTCAATAACATCATTGTAGTCTTTAGTAGACAAAAATGAGTTATTATCATCTCGTTTGCTCGTGAGAATATTTTTCAGTTTTTCGTTGAAAGTTGTGCGAACAGTTTGAATATCGATAGCCATTTTAAATAAGTGGTAAATACGACGACAGGTGTACACATACTAAAGTAATAATCTATATAAATTTTCGTTACGTATGATATTTTCAAATGTAATCTCCACGGCTATACCGATGTTATAATATGTATAGTAATTGCAGTATACTGTATAGGCCCAGTGTCCACCTTATCTGTGGCCGATAAAGAGTTATTGATTTACCCAATTAGTACCACAATTAGTTTAGCGATCACTTTATCATTGCTCGTTGGACATTATTTTAAAATAAAATTAACATTTCCCAAATCATACGGTTATTAACGTTATTCACTAGAAAATAACGATAATTCCCACATTCGTAGGTAAATAACGTAAATAACCAGCGAATAACGTTAATTTCCGATGTAACATCATTTACCGTAGCATATATATAACATACGAATGTCGACTAAGCACTTGAGAAGCCGTTAGACCGCGATACGAACCGAACCCTTTAAGTAGAAGTAAATTTTACGTAGACACACCAATAAAAGTTGAAGAAAGAGCTAAAAGTCCACTATTGGCGGATACACCCGATAGAGCGGCAATACCAAATCCTCCACCGAGGATAAAGGATTGAAAGAAAAAAAAAATAATAGATAATAATAATAATAAGATAAGATTATAACATAAGGTAAAATAGAATAAATAATAATAACAATAATAAGATCAGATCATATCATAAAGTAAAATAAAATAATTAATTAAACATATCATAGTTGATTAGATGTATTTAACAAATAAACTAACAATAGTCATAAGCTTAACAAGGCATGCTAATAATAATAATAGAAAAAAAAAGAAAAGATAACATAACTACAACTGATTAACAGAAAGAAATAGCACAAGTTCGTAATCATGGATTCATGATTGACAGAACCAGTATGGTCCTGATTTCCGGGGCAATGTCAAATAGTTTGGATAGGTTTAAAAACCGAAAACTAGAAGGGCAACCGCTACTTTTACCAGTCAACGAGGAGGTCAGACCTATGAAGGACCGAGAAGTTGTACTGGCAATAAAAGAGATTAAACGAATTTTTAAATGTAAGGAAGTATTACGTGACGCATGTTTAGGCCAGATAGAGTTAAGTCTAAAATCTAAGATAAACAATTTAATTAAAGCATACATAGAAAATTATATAAGCCAGGGGGAACAAAAAAACGTGATCGTGTTATGGAATGGGGAGTCAGACAAACGGGTTCTAGACAAATTAGGAATTAAAGAATATCCAATTCTAAATATGAGATGTTATGATACACTGTTCAACCAACAGTTTAGTATCCAATTTCAGAAAATGAATACAAAGCAAATCACATACGAAATGGATATAGGAACTTTTAACAAATCAGGAAGATTGCTAAACCTAGAAGAAACCCATAGTATAATTTGTCAGAAAAACCATAAAATAACACTCGCGCACGATCCAAAAACAGATGTTAGGTTCACTAAATGCATATTTAATAACGTTATGATAGGCTAATCGAATATTTTTAAAGTTATAATTGAAGAAAAAATATATAAACATATAAGTATTTTAAACTAATATTAATAAGTAAGTAACTTGTATCTATACGTGCAAGGCAAAAATACTAGAACTGTGTTCGTTTTGAGGTATGAAAATACAGATTGCGACTCATGAAGATTAAAAGGAGTGGTAATACGTGTTTTTATATGTGAAATCGGAAAGTGTGAGTATTTTACAGTATGAATATGCTGGCAACGATTCATGACCGATATACGAAGAGTCGGGGTGTGCATGTCTATATTGTGAAATAACAGAATAAACAGTCTAAATACCAGATGAGGGGGAGAAGTAACGTACAGTAACGAGGAAAAATTATGACAAGTTAAAGAGGAAGGTTAAGGAAAATAATAATGAATTCGGGCAATGTTGGCGAGGTCTATAACTTTTGAGATTATGAGTAGTTGTAGACCGAGCCAATACTAGTTGAAAAAAAAAAAATACCAACGAATGAATAAAAATTAATGGGAATAATTATATAAAACAATTATTCCAATTAATATTAAGATAAGAAATTGTTTAATACAAATATATATATTAGAGGAAACATATTAATATTATATAAAAACCGGGGGAGGAATTTATTTTTATTATAATGTGAGAAGTATACTACTAACAAATTATTTTATTGTATAATAAAGCAACACATATTGTAAAATTACTAACAAACATATTATAATCACCAATGTAAACCATATTAATTTGCAAATGCGATACGCATAATATAACATATTCCATAATAAATTGTAATCAATATTATTAATTATAAAATGTAAACATGTATAACTATAAAATGTAAACATATAATACTTGTATTGTAAACAAGTTAGTCGACTTGTAAATTGAAATTGTAAACAATTTTATATTGCATTGATGTTTTAAAGATTTCTGCTTTTAAAGACATAAATCTTTATTTTTAGGGATGAGGTGCTATGTACTGACGTCCCGCCATATACTCATATATTTTAAAGACTTAAATAGCGAGGGGGACATAATATGAGATTATTCACACTAGGAAGTTGTCGACCTCGGGGATTTAGGAATAATGACGCAATAAGAAATCGGGTGCGTAGTTCTGAGAATCCGACTACCGAAAGTGCGTTGCGATAATATAAATGTAATGAAAAGAGTTAAAACATGCACTATCTATGGTTAAAATGTCAAATATAATATTATCTCTCGACACGACCGGGCGACCGTTTCCTGGAAACACACACACACGTGCAATAGTAAACGGGGTCAGCGCTATCTTTGACACGGTACGTTACGGTCGCCAGTACAAAGTACAGGCACCACAACGACCGGTCTGCACCTTACCAACCACCACTACGGGCAAAGTCGGTTCGACACAGTCAACTCTCCCACCTCGCCGCAAAGGCATAGGGTGGGACGGGAAGACAGGTCGGCCCGGGCGAGTATCGGCCTCTTTTGCCACCGCCGTCATCGCGCGAACGCGTCGCACTTATTATTCGCCGGTTTCTCTTCTTTTGTCTTTTTTGTTTTTTGATCATCAGCATACCATCAATCTATACACGACACCTGTGATTATGTGTACGATCTGTTTTGCTTATACTAAATAAAGTGTTAATTCACGATAACCGTGATCGTCCGTTATTTCTTTTGTTTGTGGTTATCCCTGTTTTGATCTTGTGACTCCAGTCTCAAACACCACCATCACCGCCGTAGCCGCATCAAATTGGCTCCCCGCAGAGGAATCACCTCCAGTCTGCAGTCAGCGCAAAGGTAAGAATTTTATTCACGCTGACACATAGGTACCTCGGATAAATTGCTTATTATATTAGTATTAAGGTATTTTTAGCCAGGTCTGTTTTTTCCGGTTAGCTAGGATCCCCGAGTTTGAATTACGTAAGAAGTATTCTGGTACGAAAGGGGAATTCCGTCGCGAACTTGAATAACCGTGAAACGGCCGTGGGAAGTAATTAAGGTAGCGCGATAGCTGCGATTACCGCAGATAACGGCGCAGCGTACGGGTAAGAATACTCAAACCGGTATCGCTGTCGTCGTCGTAAGCCGCCGCCGCACGCCACCGTTGTCAACCGTCGCCGTTCCTGCCTGAGCAACCGCCGCCGAGTACGTTGACCTAGTTACGCTGTATTTGGACCGTACCGGCGACACCACTGCACAGCTGATTATCATTGGCGCGAGCGTAATCAAGCAAATTTACGTTTTTTGTCATTAAAGTAACGTTGTTTTTTATCTCTCGCTTTCTCGCTTACGTCCCCAACCATATTTTCTCGGAGCACCCGCCTTATATAACAAGAACAGGCTACCGTCTATGCAATAGTATAACGTCCACATTTGTAACTTTATTTCGAAATAAATACAATATGTCAGGAAAATCGTTGCTACAATTGACGACGACGGAGCTACGTAGCGAGTGTACGGCCCGGGGAATAAGCGTGTCCGGCCCTAAACCGGACATAATCATCAGGCTTGAGGAATATATTCGGGAGAGAGGACAGGACCTCGCGAACGTCAGGTTCTATCCTGTGCAACCGTCAATCAAAATATTGACGGACGGTACGGGAGAATGGCTGGACGTTTCGGCAACGCTGGTAGACACGAACTCCAGTCAGATATTCGGACAGCCGTCCGGGGGTATTTTGACAAGCCCGATAGCAAGTCAAAAACCTACGGATAAACTGTCGGATTACTGCGGCTATCAGTCGACCATGCAACAGGGACAGTCCGCACATCGGGTAGAGAGCGAACTGTTTAAAACCGCGACGGAACAGTTAAAATTGCTGACACAAACGGTGCCACAAACGAGCGATTCAAGGTTCGTTTACGGGCGCTGGAGGCAAGCATGACGAGTTTCTTTACAGAAACACGTCTATCAGCAGCACAGCAGCCACCCAATAACACAGCCCCGCGGATAAACATTCACCCTTCATCTGCACACGTAACAACCCGTACACACGATAATTACCAGTCGGGCAGGTCATATGAGCACAATGACGGCGGCGCTCAACATAGCGTTAGCCACATTGCCGCCGCGAACAACCGACCGTTCTTCTCAGAACGAGAACTCAGAACGACTATAATACGGGTCACACTACACACGCCGCACAATATACAC